TAAGATAGAAGAACAATCAGGAAAAAGAATGAAGAAAGCCTAAGAGTTATGTGGGAAACCAAGAAGATGAACAACTTACAGGTGACTGGAATTCCAGAACAGGAAAAGACAAGGACAGAGAAAACTGTCAAAGAGTTGTTGAAAGAAAACTTCCCTGACATCATGAAAAACAAGGAGATAAGCATACAAGAAGCTGAATGAACCCCAAACAGGATAGAGCCCAAAATAAAATCAACAAGACATATCATAATCAAACTTTCCAAAATCAAAGACAAGGAAAGAATCCTGCGAGCAGCTCAGGAAATACAAAAAAGTATCTACAAAGGTGAACCAATAAGACTAAATTCTGATTTCTCAACAGAAACCAGGCAGGCAAGTAGGCAACGGGATGACGTACACAAAACTCTGAAAGAAAAAGATTGCCAACCAAGAATCATATACCCAGCAAAGCTGTCCTTCAAATACGATGACAAAATTAGGATACTGTCTGACAAAAACAAATTAAAGGAATTTACAATAATCAGACCAACTTTATAAAAAATGTTAGAGGGTGTTCTTTGGACTGAGAATCAACAACAGCAGAAACAACCTGAGATTAACATACATGACAACACCACTCAGAACTCAATCCACATATAGAAATATTTAAAGTAAAACAAAACTTGTTGTTGTTAAGTGCCATCCAGTCAGTTCTGACTCATAACAACTCTGTATAGAGTTTCCGAGAAGCAGGTGATGAATTTGAACTGCTGACCTTGTAGCTCAAACGGACCTTGTGGTCTTGTGTATATCCTACAACACCACAGATTCAGAAATTCCAAATGGCAAGGAAGTCAAGAAGATTTCAAGATAAAACAGAAAGGTTTAACTAGGAAAGAAATTAATAAATTGCAAGGTAACCTGAAAGAAAAATAATATAACCGAACAACAAAAATAAATTTAAAAATAGAAGGAAATCAGAAAGATTTAGTAAACATTAATACAACAGAAATGAAAATGAAAAGAAACCCACAAAACAAAATGAACTCAGCAGAGAAAATTATGTGGAACAAAGAATCCAGCAGGACCACAAACACAAAAAAACACACAGAAAAATGGCAATAATCGATTCATACCTATTGATAATCATACTGAATGTAAATGGATTAAATGTACCAGTCAAGAGACATAAAGATCAGAATGGATAGAAAACAGGATTCTTCAATATACTGTCTATAAGAGTCACAACAAAAAGATGGAGACAGCCTAACTGTCCACCAACAGAAGACTGGTTAAACAAACTTTAATACATACAATGGAAAACTACAAAACATTGAAGAATAATGATGAATCTGAAAACACCTCACACCCTGGTTGAACCTGGAGGACATCGTCCTGAGTGAAATCAGTCAATAACAAAAGGGCAAACATTATATGAGACCAATATAAAAGTTAAAAAAAAAAAAAAAAAAAAGAAGGTTTTCTTGCTAAAAGAAACAATCTGGTAGCATAGAGGTTATGAATCAGGTTGCTAACCCCAAGGTGAGCAGTTTGAAACGACCAGCTGTTCCATGGGAGAAAGATGAGACTTTCTGCTCCTGTAAAGATTTATAGCCTCAGAAACCCTGTACAGGGTCAGTATGAGTCGGAACTGACTCCACGGCACATAACCACCACCACTATGATGGTTGGGAGGGCGGGTAATGAGTCACAGGCTACATGTTAACATGAGTGACAGAGCAATATACAAGAGGGGGGTCAGCAAAGATGAAGGTAGTGGGAAGCACAGGGAGGAATACAAGAGTTAAAGTGAACAGAGGTAAATGCTGTTAACTGTTGGTACATGGAGGAGATTACAACCATTTAATGAAGCAAAGTGTACGATTTGTTGAAGGTAAAACTGATGAACTGCTCAGTAAACCTTCACTCAATTCACGACAAAAAGTTTTTTTCTTACAAAAAGGTGAAACTGAATGTGACTAAGAGTTTACAGGAAGTTCAGAGGAAGGTGATAAACCAGAATGGCAGCAGACAGGGCAAGTCCAGCAGACAAACAACCTGGTTTCCTCAACAAGTCTGTTGCAAGGGACAAGAAAAAAGAGGAACCCAGAATTTAAGACACTTAAAGGAACTCAGAGGATGCTGGGTGTGAACCTTGCTTGGGTTTTTATGGAAACATACTGTACACAAACAACAAATATTTAAGCGACAATTGGGGAAGTTTAAACACTCACAGGGCACATAGTGAATTCTTGGTGTGATAATGACGACATCGTGGTTACTTATTTGAGTTGGTATCTTTTCAACCTCTACACTGAGGTTTTTACAGATGAAATGATAATGACGTTTTTAATTTTGTTTCAAAATTAGTGTCAAAAAAAAAAATATATATATATATAAAATCTAGTTTCAGGGGTTAGGGTAGTGACAGTGTTGAAACAAGACTGGTCGTGGGTGTTGAAAGCTGGTGACACAGGGTGACAGCTAAGTGTAGGTTATCTTAATCTGTCTAGTTTTGAATAGGTTTAAACAGTTCATAATAAAAGGTCCAAAAGAGGAAAAGAAAAAAGAAAAACCAAAGGGTACTGCACAAGAGTAAATCAAGATCATTTTGAAAATAGAATGACGAGAAAATGTCCCTATCAAATATTAAAAGTGGCAACATCTTTCAAAATTACCAGGCCCTGCAACCAGCCACTCCACAGTCCCCTTGCACACAGGGAGACGGCGTACAGACGTGGTTACTCACTGCAGCAGTATCTAGGGCATGGGGAGGAATGGAAACGACCTACAAGAATCCAAACCTGTTGCTGTTGAGTCCATTCTGACACACAGCTACTCTACAGGACACAATAGAACAGTCCATAGGGTTTCCAAGGCCGTGATCTTTGTAGAAGCAGACTGCCATAACAGCGGAGTGCTTAACCAATGCACCACCAGGCCTGCTACAAGAATACTAATCCCCTCCCCCAAACAACAACAACAAAGAAACCCACTGCCAAAGAGTCAGTTCTGACTCATAGCAACCCTCTATACGGTTTCCCAGGCTGTAAATCTTTATGGGAGCAGACAGCCTCATCCTCCTGCAGAGTGGCTAGTGGTTTTGAACCGTAGACCTTTTGGTTACCAGCTCAACGCCTAACCCACTATGCCATTTGGGCTCCCTGCAAGAACACCAGTATGGGGCAAATGCCGATAACATTTAAGTAGTGGGCCACTAAAAACCCAAACTGTCATTGTTGAGTCAATTATAACTCATGGTAACCACATGGGTTACAGAGGGCAACTGCTCCATATGGTTTTCTTGACTGTAATCTTTACAGAAGTATGTCACAAGGCTTTTCTACGTTGCTGCTGCTGGGTGGGTTCAAACCGGCAACCTTTAGGTTAGGAATTGAGCACTAATAACAGTTAGTTCCATCTAGGAGCCTACTACACAACCAGATAGAATGAGGACATTCCGAATGCCATGGCACACGGAACCAACTCCAGGATCAATTACGGAAAACAACACAAACGAGCTACATACACTAGAAACTTCATTATAGGAGCGCATGCTCATTTTTGCATAAAGATGGGTGTGCATGACACATATGCAGATTTCCTTGAATCTGGGCAGCAAAGCTCAGGAAGCAAACACAGGAAATTTGAGGACACTGGTCACTGTCAGGGAGAAGAGAGAGATGGCTGAGGATCAGAGGAAGGCGACATAGTATTACCTATCTTTGTATGCTTTTTGAATTTTTGACCCATGTCAATATTGTTGTTGTTAGCTACCATCAAGTCAGTCCCTATTCATGGTTTCCCCCTGCATCACCTCCAGGACTGGCTGTAGTTCAAAGTGCTGTGATTCATCAGCTTTTCCCACTGGCTGATTTTCAAAAGTTTATCACCAGGCCTTACTTCCTACTCCATTTTAGTCTGGAAGCTCCACTAAACCTGTTCAGCATCTTAGTAACGTGCCAGACTCCAAGGACAGATGGGCAGTGGCTGCACTTGAGATGCACTAGCTGGGAATTGAACCTAGGTCTCCAGCATCAGAGGTAAGCATTCTAACACTTAGCTACCAAGGCCTTCAATACAAAATGGTTTTTAATGATCATGAACAATTCACTTTGGAAAAGGTTATAAAAAGCAGCCGTTGTTAAAATAGTGTGTCTGGTCAGGAGAGCTGCAATATACAAAGGCCTTTAGAAGTCTTGTGAAAAAGACAGTGACTGAACTGCATTTCTCTCCCACGTGTGTCTGATGACATCAGCATCCCAAGAAAACACCTTCTAGGTAGCAACCCTTTGGCAAACACCAGCATTAACAATAATGCAGACTGTTTATTAAGCACTTCCTGTTCGCAATTTCTCTGCTAAGCATCTTTCCTACACCACCTCATTAGCTCTGGATATTAGTCCCTTGAGGTAGTAAGAAGGAAGGTTTCCGCTTTACAGTTAACAACCGGAGACCCAGCGAGAGGAAGCCACTCACCTGAGGTCACACAGGGAGGAATGGATGAAACTGGCAGAGTCTTATCCTCAGGGTATGTGGACCCCTCCCCCCCAAAGACTAGGCACTCAACAAGCAGTTCTTGAGTGCCTTCTGTGTACCAGGGATAGGTCTAGATGCTGGCAGGGGAGTCAAGTGAGTAAAAGTTTAACAGTAGAATCCAGCGTCCTCTACAAGGGTCTCGTTCTAGATGCAAGCCCCAAGAGTTCACTCATCTGCATGAACCAGGGCCCCAAGAGTTCACAGCCTCCAACAGAGGAAGAAGGACTTCATCACTGGGGTAATGGAGAGGTGGGTCCAAAGGGGTAGAGTGGGGAGAAGGCAAGAAGATCAGATTCAAGGGCTTGGACAGCCCCCTAGCCCATCCTGGGTCCTTCAAGGGCCTGAGTCAGGCTCAAGGCTGAGGAAGAAAAGTCTGTCTACAAAGGCTGGGTCTCCAGAAAGAAGACATAGGCCTTTCCCCGGGGGCCCATCTTGGGTACCAGCTAGTCTACCCTCTTGAGCACAGAGCCTCCAGCAGGCCCTCAGCACATGCTGAACACCGAGGGGGCCTGGCCTTGGTATTTCTCATGGACAGTCTTGAGGATGGGGATGAGATTCTGAAAGGTCGGCCGGAAAGAGGCCTCTGCTTGCCAGCAGTTCTTCATGAGTTGATAGATCTGGGGGAAAAAAAACTGAGGCTGTGGGCCCTGCTCTCTCTACAACCAGATGGCGGGGACACGAGGAAAGTATGAGGGTCCTCACCTCACAGGGACATGCCTCGGGCCGTGGCAGTCTCTCCCCTCGTTCTAGCAACTCAGTGAGCTTCAGTACCATCATCTGCCCCTGGGTGAAGTCGATGAGCTCCATGAATTTCTAAGGAAGACAAGAGAAAAGCTCTTTTCAAGAGGGAGTCTAGCTTAATGGTCTAGTGCTCACACTCTGCAGCTGGACTGTGTGGGTTCAAGGTCCCCCTCTACCACTTCTCAGTTGCACAACCTTGGACTTCAGACCTCACCTCTCTGGGACTCAGCTGTTGTTGTTTGGGGGATTTTTTTCATCTGTAAAATGGGACAATAACAACCTCCACTGCCTGGAATAACTGTGGAAGTTAGATCAAGGTACATTCATGAAGTCAGTCAGAGCCGTGTTTGCTGCTGCTATTCAGCATCCCAGTATGTTGTTTTGCTTATTCAGTCTTCTTTTCTATGCCCAGAGTCCTCTTCCTGATTTGTTTTGGCCAAAAACCCTTAACACACTCTCTGTTCCTTATATACCCAAGGCCTGTCTAATCACTGTTAAGTTCTTAGTCACACACTGATTGGCTCTGTAGCAGACACATGCGCCAATCAGAGCCAGTCCTGAGAATTTTGCTGGCAGAGAAGGGCTCCTTGTTCCCTCTGTTGGAAGTTATGGGGCTACCTTTGCCACAACAGTGGGAGAGTCTGCTGGAGAAGGGAATTCAGACATGTGGGAACAGACAGAAAGCACTAGAATCTTAATGACTCCAGCCTGCCCTTCCCCCTAGATGCCCCTGGAGATTGCAAATATGTTGCCAAACCTGCTATTCCTCTTTTGCCTAAGTCTATTTGAGTGGGGTTTCTGTTGTTGGTACACCAGTTCTCTGGACTCTGTATGGCCCCTGAGGCTCTGGCAGGTTATAGTCACTTGCTAGGGTAGGGATGGGGGCCTGGGATGTGAATGCATACCTTCCTAACTCCTAGAGGGAACTCTCCCGGGGTTGGGGGGTTAGGGTGGAGGTGGGGATAGGAGTCCTGGCTCTCACCGAGGGGGGGCTCTGTCTGGAGTCACAGCGGGTCAGCAGTTCATACAGGGTGACCCCGAAGGACCAGACATCTGAGGCATAGTAGAACTTGCACTCCTTCAGGCACTCAGGGGCGTACCTGGGGGGAGGAGGCGCTCAGGCCTGGGGCAGGGCCCTGGTTGAGGTCAGACCAGGCTCCAGCCCTCACCAATGATTGAGGGTGTTTCCTGGCCCCCGCTAAGGCCCCACCCCAAAAAAGAGTCAGTTTCACCAGAACCAGCATCTGGCTCTTCCACCCCCTCTCCCCCTAGACCCTCCTAGTCACCAGAACACAGGACTGTCCCCGTCCTCGCTCACGCGGTAGTACTCGTGGCCTTCAGGCACTGCCTTGGCCAGGCCAAAGTCCCCAATCTTGACCAGCCTGTCGGTGTCTAGCAGCACGTTGCGCGTAGCCAAATCTCGGTGGATGTAGCGCTGCACGTGCAGGTAGGCCATGCCCTGGGGGCGGGGTGAGTATGATCAATGGGGAGCAGGCGGCACGGCACTGGGAATAGAGGATGGTGACCAGGGTAGCTGAGCACGCACGTGCGGGCCGAGCAAAAGGGGGCAGAGCTGGGAAGGGAAGGGTCAGCCCAAGAGCCAAACCACAAAAGCTGGGACAGGGCGGCCGAGTGGGCAGAAGGGTCCACTTTGGAGCAGGCATGGGAAGGGGCTACCTCACAGATCTGTTGAGCAAAGAGCAGCAGCTGCGTCAGCCCCACGCTATGCCGGGGCAGGTAGTCCCTGAGGCTGCCTAAAGGCATGTACTCCATGACCAGCTGCACCGACATTTCGCCTGCGGAGGAGCACCCGTAGAGTCACGTAGTGGAGGGGACCACCCGGACCACCGAAGCCCTGAAGGGCCAATTCTGGGACTCCCAGACACCTTCGAAGGTGGGACGTGTAGACCAAGTCCTGCCCACACCTTGCTCTGCCTACGCTAGACCCCGTCCTCCGGCGAAGAAGCTCCCTTATAACCCCATTCACCAGTCCCACATGGACCCTAGCATACAGGGTCCCCCAGATGCGGGGGGAGGGGGGGGAGGGGGGAAGGTGCGGCAGCTAGCAGAGGCCCGCTTACCTGGGTCCTCGCAGCAGCCCTTGTACTTGACGATGTGTTCATGGTAAAGAGCGCGCAGGATACTGATCTCGCGCCTCCAGCCCGAGCGGAACTGGGGGCCGCAGCCCGCCTTGAGGGTCTTCACAGCCACCATCTCGCCAGTGCCGTCGTTAGTCGGGTCATAGCAGTACAAGCTGACCTTACCGAAGTGACCCTGGCCGGTGCACGCAGAGTCAGATCCATCTGGAGAAGCCCCGCCCCTGCCTCCCAGATCCCGTCGTGCTTTGCAAAGTACTTGGAAGGTGCCCTGGTGGCGCTGTGGCTTAGGTTCTGTGCTAACTGAAAAGTCACAGGAGTTCAAATCCACCAGGCGGTCTGTGGGAGAATGAGCGGCTGTCCGCTATAAAGATTCACAATTTCCGAAACCTTATATAGGGTTGCTATGAGTCAGAATCCACTTGAGGATAGTGGGTTTCGGTTTGGGTTTTTGTTTAGGTACCACTTAAGAGCCCTGGTGGAGCAGTGATTACAGTGCTTGAATACTAACAGAACTCACCAGATGCTGTTGAGAAAAAGATGTGGCAGTCTGCTTCCTTTGGAAACAGTATTGGGGGCAGTCCTACTCTGACCTAGGGTCACTCTGACTTGGAATCCACTCAACAGCACCTAATAGCTACAGGTCTCACCTACTCCCATTGATAGGTTTCTTGGGGCCTAGAGTTCCCCTCCAATTCTCTAGGGTATCTCATGAAGAAGAGAAGCCTCTAGGCCAAGCGCCGCCCAGAGCCTACGAGGTCCAACTCATATCTCCGGAGAACCTCAGCGGAACTTTAACGCTTCCCTACAAGCGGTATCCTTCCAGCCCAGGCCCCGCCCCCGGCTCGCAGGCCCCGCCCTCACCTCGCCCAGCTCACGGATCTTCTTCAAATAGCGCTTATGGAAAACCGTGGGGTCTGACGCCGGCGAGTCAGGGCTCACAGCTGAGACATTAACAAGATCTAGAAGGGTTCCACGCACAGGGTGAGGCCAGGCCTAGCCCTTTCTTGGGATCCCTACTTTTTGGGGACCACAAGAAGTGGACAATTGCTCCCCCAGCATCCTATCCAGAGGTAAAAAAACCAGTTTGGGTATTTTTTTTTGCAATCCTTGGAAAATTCTATTTCCTACCCAAAGTCGGAATGGACTTGATGGCACTTAACAGCAATTCCAAAGTGCACAGGGCCAACACTTGGGACATTCTGAGATTGCTGGGATACTTTGATTCACTGTGCCAGTTTCAGAGGGGACCCCAGCTTGGAGCTCCTCCAGGGCCCCAGTGCTGGAATGGGGCTCACCATGGGGCTGCAGCCGAGTGAGGTCGCGCAGGACACTGCGGAAGGACGGCCTCCCGGCGGGCTCATAGGTCAGACACCGACCTGTGAGGGAGGCCAACTCCGGGTAGGAAGGCTCCGGCAGCCGATGTTGCTTCTGGTAGAAACGCTCTTTCTGTAGGAGAGGGGACCCTCAGGCATCAGTGCCGCATCCCCGGGATGGGGGGCCCCTTCCCCATGGAGTAGTGAACCCTCAGAGCCGCAGGGGCTCGCCAGGTCTGTGCCCTTGTTCCTGGCATGCTGCAGCTTCACACTTCTGCAGGCCTGGTCCCCAGGGAGCCCCTGTGGACTGCAGCCCCTAGGCCCCCAAAGCTCTGACTCCCCTCCCCCATCATAGTCTGGTCACTCTACCCTGTAGCTTGTCCTTGACTGGCCTTTTAGGCACCAGGCATTTTAGACCGCCACCTTGTGGGGCAGGACTAATTGGGATCCCCACAGCAAGAGAACCATGGCCTTCCTGTCATCTCTGTGGGCAGGAGGCAGGGGTCCCTTCACCATACCTCAGAGGGGCTTCTGCCCTGCAGGGGGGCCTCTCCATCAAAGCAGATTTCTAGGAGGGTGGCACCGAAGGCCCATTTGTCGGCTGCTGTACTCAGACTGGTGGCCCCACCAGATAGGCACTCGGGGGCTATCCAGGGGATCCGCTCCACCAGCTCTAGGGGTCAAGGTCAGAGGTCACCAAGGGGGAAAAATGTGGGGAGGCCAACCCTGTGCCCAGCCCCACCCAGCTCCTCACCCTTCCTTGAGAGGACGCTCAGGCCCACGCCGGGGTCACTCAGCTTGATGAAGGGGCTGGTGCCCTCTGCCAGGCCAGGCCGAGCCAGCAGGATGTGCCGGCCACACACGTTGCCGTGAACCAGGTTCTTGTCCTCCTGAGGTGGGCAGGAGAGGGGCCTAGTCACTGGGGAGGGTATAGACCCTAGCCCCTGGGACCTCCACAGGGACAGCCTGGGGTCTTCATTAGATTATCAGTGCAGTGTCCTTAAGACAGCACTGGACATAAAACTGGTGGCCAAGGTTAGGGACAGAAGGGTGGAGGAACCTACTGCTGTCCTCAAATCCATGCCAGGCAGCTGTTTCCGCCCTGGTTGTTTCCTCAGCCAGAAGCTCTTCCCTCATACCTCACCACCCTCAGCTCACAGAGAAGACCTTTCCTCATCTGCCTGCTTCAACCTCAGAAAAACTTGGACCTTCTGCGCTAGAGTTCTTAATACTCTCTAACACACTACGCAAGGAGCTCTGGCAGTGTAGTGGTTACGGGTTGGGCTGATAACCTCAAGGTCAGCAGTTCGAAACTACCGAATGTTCCATGGGAGAAAGATGAGGCTTTCTGCTTCCATAAAGATTTACAGCCTCGGAAACCCTATACAGGGTTGCTATGAGTCGGAACTGACTCCACGGCACATAATCAACCAATACATTATGCAGCACACTCGTCTCTCTTGGTCCCTCCCTAGCTAAGATTCCCCAGGAAGGGAGGTTGTAGTTTCTTTGCCAGGCCCCAGGGGTACTTGGTCAACACTGTGTGCAAGAATGACAGTGGAGAGCGTCATGGCACCCAGGGCTCTATAGATGGCCGTGGGAGCCACAGGCTGCTGGGAGCTGAGCTTTGTGCACATTGCTCGATTTGGAAAGATCTGTCAGGGTTAGTGTGAGGACTGAGGCTTCTTCATCTCAACACTGAGCTTCCCCTGGCTCTCCCCTGTCCACCCAGACCTGCACACAGGTCACACACCAGGTAGCTGAGGGCACTGGCCAACTGCTGGGCCACTGCCACCTTCCAGGCCACAGGCACGCGGCCCCGTTCCCGTCGCAGCCATACGTCCAGCGGCCCGTGCTCCACATATTCCGTCACCAGGATGTCTGCAAAGGTCCAGGTGCTCCAGGAGCTGCCCACCAACACCCACCCTCCAACACAGGAAAAGGGGTCCTAGGCTGGGGCTGGGGGCAGGGGTTGTTCGTGCAGAGGTTGGGCAAACTTTGGTCTGGTTTGGGAGGTTCTGAGGAAACAGAGTTAAGCACTGGACTGCTAATTGCAAGGCCGGCAGTTCAAACCCAGCAGCTGATTTGAGAGAGAAAGATGCGGCTGTCTGAGCCTATAAAGATTGACAGTTTCGGAAATGATGTATGTTACGAGCCAGAATCGACTTGCGGGCAGTGGGTTTGGTTTGGGGAGAGCAGAGATGCTGGTTTGTGGGCTAAGGTGAGGGCAGAGTAGGTGGGGGGTGTAGACAGGTGGCATGAGGGAAGTGAGTAATGTACAAGTGAGGCTTAGGACGGGTGTTGGGGTGAGAAGCAAGAGAGACATAAAAAGGGCTTTCACGAAGCATGTGGGAAATGCAATGAAAAGATAATGGCGTTTTCCCACAAACTTTGTGAAGCCTCCTCGTTCGTACACATGAGGTTGTGCTGGTGGGGTTGGGGTCCGGATGGGTCCATGTGTTTTGAGGGGCCTGTAGTAGGGTTAGTGGTGGGGTGTGTTCTGAGCTGGACTGAAGTGCAGGGTGAACAACAGGGCTGGACTCAGAGGGAAAATGAGGGCGGGGTTGTAGTAGGGTTTGGTTGGACAGATGGAGATTGAAAGGATGTCAGGGTGTAACTGGAGGTCAGGGTACAGGTAAGAGTGGGGGTGCAGTGAAGGTCAAAGTGTAGCCAGGGGCTGAGGTCTAATTTGAGAGCTAAAGTGTAGTCAGAGAAAGGGGGTTACAGGTGAGTGTCAGGGTGTTGTCAGGGGTTGGGGTGCAGGCCAAGGGCTTGGTGTAAGTGGGAGCGGAGCTGGCCTCTAGGGAGTAGGGGACACTCACTCTCAGAGCCGTGCACACAGACACCGTGCACGAAGGCCAGGTGCACGTGGGAGACCTGGCTCATGAGGCTGGCTATCTCATAGAAGGCCTGTGGGGACAGAGCAGGTCAGGTGGCAGCAACCCCTCTAGCTCCCCCTACTCCACAGATATTGGCGGGAGCCATGAGCTCACCAGGGCGATGTCGTGGTGACTGGATTCCAGCACCTTAAGCACCACTCGGAGCTCCTGCCCACAGCCCCCGCTCACTGTGGGGGGCTCCCCATCATCATCCTTGTCTTCGGGGTCCCTGCACCTGACACGCAGGAGGCCCTCATACACGTTGGTCCTAGTACCCTGGCCCAAGTGGGACAGCTGGGGGAAGACAACGAATATCATCACCATGACAACAGGTAGCCACCTAGCTCCCCTGCTCCCAGGTGCCCACCACCCCACGGACCTGGGTGATCTCCTCTCGGTGGACCTGGTGGAAGCTGAGCTGGCTCAGGTTGAGTGGTGTGGCCCGAGGCCCCCGCATGATAATGAGGTTGGAGAGTTCTGGGGGCAGGGTCTGAGTCACCCAGGGCTCCCCTGGGGGGAGATCCCACCCCCTCCTAGTGACCCCTTGGGTACCTCCTGGCCGTGGCAGGCAGCAATGGCGTGGGGAGAAGCAGTCATCCCCAACACGTAGTGAGCAGCCCTGCAGGGCGGCCCGCAGCTCCCCCACACTGGGGAAGGGCCGGCTCCAGCCCTCCAGTGTGAAGGTCCCAGCCTGCTGCTCAATGGTGAATTTCCGTAAGCGCATGCTCCGAGAGCCGGAGGCCTGGAGATGGAGGCAGGGGACAGGGGTATTGATGAGCAGAGGTCCAGGGAGGTGTGTTCCCTCCTGGGCCTGCGTAGGCTCACCTGGTCATGCTGGGCGACCGTGAGGATAAGGCGGTTGAGGTGGCTAGTGCTCCAGTGGATAAGGTAGTGACCGTCATCGGACTGAAGCTTGGCCAGCACAAATGGATCACTGCGAGGGGAACAAAGGGACACCATCAGGTCCCTAGGGCCAATGCTGGACACACAGAGTCTGCCCAGAGGGGCCCACACCCAGCTGAAACAGCTGTCGGGCACAGTAGCTCACAGGGTGACAATGGTCCTGGCCATGCACACCCAGACCAGTGGATTCACACTCATGAGCAGAAAGCTGTCAGACACAGCCGCTCAAACAGTGACAATCCGAGACAGACACACACCCAACCACAATTACAGTCACTCACAGAGTGACACACCCAAAGGACAACCACCACAAATACAGCCTCTGACACTGTACAGCACAGCCACATTGGGGCACTGGTGTCACAGACCCTCAAGATGACAATCATCACCAGGACAAACAGACACATGCAAGGTGACACAGCCACAAAGGCCCAGACAGGTACACACCACGTGGCTCACAAACATTGTGCCAGCAGCACACGCCCAGGGGCTGAGTCCCAGTGTCCCAAGGAAGAGAAGGGGCCACCCAGGCACAGGGACAGCCACCAGACAAGCTGATCATTACAAATCCTGACCTGACAGCACACAGGACAACCACACACACCTGACTCACAGACACCATCACGCTCAGCCATACAAGTCAGAGTCGCTTAGAGACACCACACGTCGTCAAGGAAGACACACACCAGCAGAGAGGTTAGTGCCCACCCAGACACCTGAACCACCCCAGCATCTGTGCTCTTCACACGGTTCCCACAAATCACTCAGCCTGCCCCAGGCAAAAAGAAACTATGACCATTTCAAATGCTGCCACTGCCACCCTGTTAGGCCCGGTGTCCTCTAAATGTGTAGTAAAGTCCTGCCGCCTCGGCCTGGAAATGGGGGTGTCTGTGTAAGTTCCTTTGGTCATCCTGAGCAGGGTGGGTCCTGATGTCATCGCTGCTCAGTTTTCTCAGTTATCCAAACAGCAGAATGGGCGCAGAGACCCTCACAAAGGAAGATGGACACCATGGGAGGGTCGTCCACGAGCCAAGGAACCAGGGAAGACCCTGAGTGGTTGACAAGAAGGAATTCACAAGGCCAACACCTTGAATTGGATTTCTAGCCTCCAGATGTTTGATCCTTAAAGCCACCTGCTTGTGGGATTTGCTATCGCAGCTCTAGGTAACTCAGAAAAGAAAGCAGGTAGTATTCATCGAGATATGCACAATGCCGGTTTGGACCACACACTTGCATGATGACATATCTGGTCATACGCTCTCCTCCCATAACCCTCAGTGTGAGCACATGCATGTACACACAGGTACCCCCCTACACATACCCACACACACTCATCATGAGCATATGCAAAAACCAACATGTTTGTTGTTATTAAGTGCCGTCAAGTCAGTCCCAACCTATAGCAACCCTGTGTAGGGTTTCTGAGGAGCGGCTGCTGAGCTTGAACCACGGACCTTGCGGTTCAAACCGACTTTGCAGTCTAGTGCATTAACCCACAGTGCCATACCAGGACTACAAACGCAACATGGTGGTTGTGGTTATGTGCCGTGGGGTCGGTTCCGACTCATAGCAACCCTGTACAGTGTTTCTAAGGCTGTAAATCTTTACAGGAGCAGAAAGCCTCGTCTTTCTCCTGCGGAACAGCTGGTAGTTTTGAACTGCTGACCTTGAAGTATGCAGCCCGATTTGTAACCATTATGCTACCAGAGCTCCTTAAACACTACACACATCACCCTTAATCCTATCAAGACCGTGACCCATGCAACAACTTTCATCTAAATGGAAAGAGAAGTAAACAGAGAAGGGGGACCTGTAACCACCAAGAAAGAGGAGTGGGGAGTGCAGTGCATCCTTTGGAACTGGGTCCTTGCACTGTGAAGCTCCTACATCCACGGAAAGACGGACACTAAGACACGTGGAGACCTCCCAGGAACACTGGCTGTACAGAAGCTGAGACAAGGACCTTTGTCCAGAGCCTAGGCTCTGGATCTGGACTTCCAGCCTCCTAGCTGTGAGAGACTAGATTTGTTAAAACTATCCAGTGGTGGTATTTCGGTTACAGCAGCACTCGACAACTCATACACCGCGTTCAGTCACACCGACTCCACAGCTGACGGTGTGGCTGGCACTCACAGCAGGGCTCCGTGGATGCCATCCTGGAGACTCATCACCAGCCGTGGGGGAGCCACCTCATGGCACAGGTAGTGGCTCGAGTCAACTGTCAGCCGGAAATAGCCATCCACCAGTGACACCAAAGACAGGGCCGCGGCCCGGGAAGGCAGAGTCAGCTTCTGTGGGCAGGGGGGCATCAGGCAGCTATCCCCAGCCCCAGCTGGCCCAGCCCGACCCCAGCCCTGGGCCCCACCAGACACTTGTTGTCCTGACGGTGGATGCTGATGTGGTGCTCCTTCATCACCAGGTGACTGATGTCCTGGAAGTCGCAGAAGGTGGCCCAGGGCAGCCCCTTCCACCTGCCCACCAGCTGCTCATCTGCCTCTTGAGCCTGGGCTTTCTTCGCAGAAGGGCTCGAGGGAGGATTCTTGCCGCCGTGGCTGCTGCCAGCAAAATCCTGGAAACCCAGCACCTAAGCTGGTGGATGGCGCCAGCCGTGCCCTCTTTCCCTCCTGCACCTTCCCAGGGAACAAGTCTCCTCTGGCAGCTCCTACTGACCATGTGCAGTGGTACAGAGCAGACAGGGAAGCCACCCCCAGACGCTACACATTCCAGACGCTTGTAGAAGGCAGAGAAAAGAATCCTAGCTTCCTTCCTCCTAGACACCTGATCCCCAGAGCCCTGGGCAAAGGAACTCCCAGAGACAGAGATCCCCCAATCCAAGCTATTCCCCAGGAGACAGACAGACACCAGCTTCCCAGGGTCACGTGCACAAGACCAAAACTCAGACCTGCCCAGCCACCCACCACGGAGGTACAGCTGACCCCCACACTCCCAGCCTGGAGCCCAGAGTGGGGCAGCAGCCGTGCCCTTCTCACCTCTGCCTGTACCATCCGCCACTGGATGCCCCTGGTGCCTGTCACTAGCACCTCATGGGTAGGGTGTCTGATGGCAGGCTCAGATTCCAGGTCCAGAGAGGCCTGCCTGGGTCCCTGAGTGCGGCAGAGTTCCCCCTCAGCCTGGGCCAGCAGTTCCAGGTGGTACACGGGCACACGCTCAGTGGCAAAGCGGGGGGCCAGTCGCTCGAGCGTGGCCAGGTACTTGACCATGACATGCTGCTGCGAGAGGCAGCCAGGCTGGAAGGCCTGCAGGAACTTGCGGAAGATTCTGCGCAGGCGCAGCCGCGTCAGAGCGTTGTGCTGTCGGATCTGCAGCCGAAAGGAACGTGGGATGCAGTCTTTAAAGCTGTGGGAGGATGCGGAGAAGCTGGTCAGGGGCCTGGCTGGGGGATGTGGGACAAATGGTTTAACCTCTCTGAGCTTCAGCATCTAGAAAACAGGTGCAGTGATGTGAGGGTGAAAAGGAAGAAGGCTGCGGGGGTGTGGAGTCCCACGTTCAGGTCTCTGAAGAAAACAGCTCTCATTTCTCGGTCGGCTTCCTCAGCTTTAAGGGCTCTGTTTCTGTAAAATGGTCATTAAACTATACCCACCATGGGGTGCAGAAAATGCTTAGGATGCTGCTCAGCACTTGTTAAGGAGTATGTGAGTGTCAGGCAGAGTTCAAATAGTTAACACGCTCAGCAGCTAACTGAAAGTTTGGCGTTTCAAGCCCTCCTGGAGGCGCCATCAAAAACCCTATGGAGCAGAATTCTACTCTGACACATGGGGTCACCATCAGGTGGAATCAACACTCAACAACCATTGGTTGCTTGGTTGGGTGTCCAGGCATTATTATTATAGGAAAAGTAGCTATTGTTATCAATCAAAGACATCCTCCCCTTGCCGATGAGTCGATTCTAACTCATAGCAACCCTACAGGACACACAGTAGGCTTCCCAGGGCATGGCTGGTGGGTGCAAACTACTTACCATTCAGTTAGCAGCTGAGCACTTAACCACTGCACCACCACGGCTCTGTAAAAGGCACAGCTCCTAGGAGCTCCTCTTGTGAAGTGCGTTGAGTCGCTTCTGACTCAAAGCAACCCTGTATAGCATTTCTGAGGAGCAGCTGATGGGTTTGAACTGCTGACCTCTGGTTCACAGTCCAGTGCTGATCCTACAGCACCACAGCAGGAGTCCACAAAGTCCCCTTAATTCTCCCAAGATCGTCCCCTCTCCCATTGTCTACCCTAACCCAACCACCAGTGTGCTGTGCCTCCATCACAGGTCCCTGCACCTCAGTGTCCACTCCCCAAGCCTTCCTTCCTCACCCCATAACCAGATGAATCCTAAATCACAAGGTTCCTGCCCTCATTCGCTGTCCTTCCAGGGTTCCCTAGTACCCTCTGGGAACAGGTCCGACAAATGCCTTGTGGACTCCTGCCCTTTACAGGAGATGCTCTTCCCTCCCCCTAGACCGCATTGCCAAGATCTGCATCTGAATGAAGCCCACTCAACCATCAAGTTGCAGTGGAAAAGTTGCCCCACCATTCGAAGTGTTCTCTGGTCTCTAGGTTGAATAAGGTGCCTCCTGTGGGCTTCCCAGTGCCTGGACGGCACAGTTGGTTAAGGGATGGGCAGAGTTTCAAACCTACCAGTTGCTCTGTGGGAAAGAGATGAGGCTGTCTGCGCTGGTAAAAATTTACAGCCTCAGAAACCGTAGGAACAGTTCTTTCTTCCCTGTCTTACAGGGTCGCTGTGAGTTAGAACCGACTCAGTGTCAGTGGGTTAGGTTAGGGTTTTTGTTTTTAATGGGCTTTCCAGTACCCTCGGCTTTGTTGTCACAACACCGACCTCCAGAGTGATGGCAGACTCTGAACAAAAAACAAACCTGTCGCCGTTAGTCAATTCCAATGTGTCGTGACCCTATGGGACAGAACAAGTGCCTCATACAGTTTCCAGGGCTGTAATCGCTGGTAGCGTAGTGGTTACAAATCAGGCTGCTAATCTCAAGGTTGGCAGTTCGAAATTACCAGCTGTTCCGTGGAAGAAAGTGAGGCTTTCTGTTCCCGGAAAGATTTACAGCCTCGGAAACCCTGTGCAGGGTCACTGTGAGTAGGAACCGACTCCATGGTACTTAACAACAACAACAACTATCTTTATAGAAGTAGACTGCCTCATCTTTCTCCCATGTAGCTACTGGTGGATTTGAACCGCTGACCTTTTGGCTACCATGGGAGACTTCAGCACAGTGTCACCAGGTCTCCTTTTGATAGCACGATTGCTGATGTTGCTAAGTGTTGTCCAGTCGGTTCTAACTTACAGCAACCCTGTATAGGGTTTTCAAGGAGCAGCGGGTGGGTTTGAACCACCAACCTGGCAGTTAGCAGCCATACCAGGACTTGATAACACAATGTTGGTGTTGTTATGTGCCATCGAATCGGTACTAACTCATAATGTATCTATGCACAACAGGACGAAACAACACCTAGTCCTGTGCCAACTTCACAATCGTTGCTACACTTAAGCCCATTGCTGCTGCCACTGTGCCAATCCATCTAGTTGGGGGGGAGGCAGGCACGGGAAGGTCCTCCTCTTTCTCTCTGACCCTCCACTTTATGATATTCTTCTCCAGGAATTGGTCCTTCTTGATATTATGCCTGAAGTATTAGAGACGAAGTCTGGCCATCCTGGCTTCCAAGGAGCATTCTGGCTGTATTTCAAACAAAGCAGATTTGTCTGTTCTTTTAACAATCCATGGTACTTTTAATATTCTCCTACAACACCATAACTCAAATACATCAATTTTTCTAGGGCCTTCCTTACTCACTGTTCAACTTTCACATTCATTTAAAGTTATTGAAAATACCATGGATTGGGTCAGGCGCACCTTAGTCCTCAAACTGACATCTTTGCTCTTAAACACTTTAAAGAGGTCTTGTGCAGCAGATTTGCCTAATTGCAATACTTGGTTTGATTTCTTGATAGCTGCTTCCATGAGTGTTAATGGTTGATCCAAGCAAAACGAAGTCTTTGACAACTTCAATCTTTTCTCCAATTATCATGATGTCACTTATTGGTCTAGTGGTGAGGTTTTTTTGTTTCTTTACATTTAGGTGCAACCCATACTGAAGGCTATGGTCGTTGATCTTCATCAATAAGTGTTTTAAGTCCTCTTTGCCTTCAACAAGCAAGGTTGTATCATCTGCATACCACAGATTGTTAATGAGTCTTCCTCCAATCCTAATGCCATGTTTTTCTTTATATAATCCAGTTTCTCGGATTATTTTGCCCAGCATACAGATTGAATAAATATGCTGAAAAAATACAATTGTGGTGCAAACCTTTTCTCATTCCTGTCTGAACAACTGCCTCTTGGTCTATGTACAGGTTCCTCATGAGTACAAGGTAAGTGTTCCGGAATACTCATTTTCCACAATGTTGTCCATAACTTGTCATGATCCTCACAACTGAAAGCCTTTGTGTAGTCAATAAAGCACAGGTAAAGGTAAACATCTTTCTGGTGCTCTGTGCTTTCAGCCACGATTCATCTGATGTCAGCAATGATATTTCTGGTTCTACAACCTCACCTGAATCCCTCTTAAACATCTGGCAGTTCTCTGGTGCAGCCGATTTTGAATTGTGATAGACTGGAAAATACATTCTTAAAGGCCCAGCTACTGTGTTGCCTCCTCCAGGCAGGATGCCTTGATTGCCCCAGGCCTCACTGCAATGCAGACATCACAGGCGCTGTCTCGGTAGGGGAGTGAGGCTGGCTTCCAGCTCCCTGTCCTCCATGTTCTTCCTGTCCTTGAATTCTGACGAGTTCTCAAAGTCACTGTGCTTTAATGATCTGCCCAGTCCCCATATCTTCCTGCTCTCCCTTTAGCTCATTCTGCTTCAGCTACAGTTGCCTCCTTGACGTTCCTCCAACACGCCAGGCATGGTCCAGCCTCAGGTTCTTTGCACTGGCTGTTCCCTCTGCACAGAACACTCTTCCCTAGACACCTGCAAGCCTCTGTCTTTCACTTCCTTCAAATTTTTGCTTGAATGTCATCTTCTCAGTGAGGACTTCCTGAGTCCCCTTCACCACCCCCTGCCCCCCAAACCTCCCTACCCCTCCTTCCTGAGTAACGATCCCCACTGGTACTTCTCACCACCTGAAACCTTGGGTACCTAACTTCAGTGATCCTTTTATCACCTGCAATGAGAGGGGAGCCCCAGAGGTTGGGGTTTTTTGTCTGACTTGCCCACTGCTGTGTCCTCAACATCTAGAATCACACACAGCACACAGTAGGTGCTCGGTAAATGTCTATGCGATGAAGGCACGGCAGGATGCGTGGTCTCCCCTGGCAGCAGATGGCCAGGGTATTTTCATTCCCCTCTCTGTGATGTCCCACCCTGTTTCCAGTCACCTGATTTTATTAGCCACCTCCTCCAGGGGGACGCCACGTTGGAGAGCAAGGTGGCAGAGGTGCAGAAACGCCATGCCCAGGCTCTCGTTCTTGAAGTGGTGGATCTCCTCCTCGCTCGACAGGTCCCACAGAGAAGCCACATCATTCACAAACTCATGCTTACCCTGGAGCCGGAGGGAGGGAGGAGGGTGGCAGAAGAAATGGAGAAACAGAGGCATGAGAACTTGGTCACTGCCCTTCAGAATATCTTGGGGAGGGGAGAGATAATGATCGTCTGGAATGGGCAAACAGACAACATGCATATCTCCTCTGCCCAATCCTGTGTCTCTGGCAGACCTCACTAATCCATTACCACACTCTTTCCCATGCAATCCTTAGAGTCCCAGGACAGGCAAAATATCCCAGATGGCAGAGTTCTACTGTCAATACTGAACTGGAGAAACAAGTGGGGGTTCCTCAACCCTTCCATGTGCCCCACAGATAGTACCACTTCTCCATCCCTGTTCACACCTGCTCAAAGATGTACTCAAAGGAGGCTGGGTCTAGGAACTGCAGCCCCTGCTTTGTTTGATCTGAGGAAGCTTGGTCCCCAGGGGGCCCACAGCGGTATACTGTCGGCTCCTGAGGATTCATACCATGCCAGTTCCGGAAATAAAACCTGCCGGCAAAGAGGGGTCAGAACTGGGGGTCAGCACAGGTTCAGATCAGCTCCAGGAAGGGGGCTGATGGAACAAAAGGGGTCATTGCGCACCTCATGCGGAAGTGCAGGCTCAGGCTGGTGTCTCTGGGGACCTCTAGAATGTAGTTTGGGGGCAGCCAGACTTGCGCCTGGGCATTGAAGAGAGCGAAGAGATTGAAACAGGATGGAGTGATACCTGGAACAGGAAAGAACAAGGTTGGTCAGGAGTCAAGTAAGACCCCTACTGCCAGAGCCCTAGAGTCCCTAGACCCTCTGCTCCCATCTCACACTCTCCCTGGACCTCTGCCCCTGGCTACTGACTCAGTCTTAGATTGCTCACAGGGAAGCTGTTAAGTGTTGTCGAGTTGGTTCCAACTCATAGTGACCCTGTATAGGGTTTCTGAGGAGCGGCTGGTGAGTTTGAACTGCCGACCTTGCAGTTCAGGGCTTATCCTACACCAGGACTCCACTCGTAGGGTAGAGGACAATGTAATGAGTTAATCATGCTGTGGCCTCATAGGAAGACTACATTTCCCAGACTCCTTTGCAGCTAGGATGGGGCCATTGAACTGTTTTCTGGCCAGGAAAGACCCTTTGTGCTAGGTGACAAAGCTATAAGAGGTGAAACCCTCCCACACCCAATTTTATTCTGTAAATGTTATGGATTAAATTGTGTCCCCAAAAATATGTGTTGTAAATTCTAACACCTATATCTGTGCTGTTGGTGGAGA